CAGAGCCTGACCCGACCCCGAGCAGGCGGTGGTGGCAGCGCGGCACCTTTAAGAGGCCGAGGGGCGCGACGGGTCGGGACACGCCCCCGCCCTTAAAGGCGCCGCGTCCTCTCGCAGGAGGCGGTTGGGGCGTGCTGCTGTCGGTGGCGCCACGGGACGGTCTTTTATAAGTTGTTTATGCGTTTACAAGACGTGGTTTGTTGCTAGAGGAAGGCGTGTCTTCCGCTGTTATGACAGACCTCGTCGTGTGTTTAGTTTTTATGTGTATTAATTAATAAGAAGGAGGAAGAACAGCCCCACGCGCGAGCCGCGGGCGCCCGGGCCCAGGATGCCGGCAGGCGTGAGGCAGCGCCGCGGTGCCCCGGGCGGGCTGCGCCCGAGCCGGAGCTGGGACGCGGCGCGGGGGAGCGGCAGGATGTGCCAGGCCGGACCCCCGCGCCGAGCCCGGTCCCGCGCCTCCCCTCAGGGCAGCTCCGTGCTCTGGACGGCGCAGTCATCCCCGACCGGCTCCGCTGCCGCCCTCTACGCCTGATCTCCTTGCGCAAGACGATCCCGCCGACATCCCGCCCGCCAGCGTCACGGACGGCCGCGTGGCCTGTCCCATGCTACCGGCACCCGCAACTGCTGGAAGAAGGAGCCACTTTGCAACCTCTCTGGGCTGTTGTAGCTGGGGAATCCTTCTAGATAAACCCACCAAGAGCCCTTCTGCATTAAAGGTCGGACAGGCAAGAGCCCTTCCAACCGCCGGCTGGGACGAGGGGAAATCCTTGAGGGTCAGGTGTAAGAGTGGAGGGGTGGGCGAACACCATGGCCTCCTGAAGCCCATAGGGACAAGATGGGGCACGTCGCGGTGGGTGAGCCCTCTTGGTTCTTTAAAAGTTTTCAACTCTTAGGAAGTAAGGGGGGGGCTGCTTTCATCAGCTGTGAATCTGGGAAGCACCACAGGCTAGCACATAAAAACAAGAGTCTGCCTCCAGACCCTGATATTGCAAGTGACTCCATATGGACAAGTCCTTGCATCACACCAGGCCTTGCTTTATCTGCTTGCATAACCAGGTGTAATAATTTCTGTCTCCTGAGGGCTTTGCGAAGCTTAATTTGTTAATGTTTGTGAGGTGCTCGGCAATCAGAAAAGCAAAATATCATCATCAGATGCAACTCATTTTACCAGAGTGACACTGAAAGAATCCAAGATGCAGTCACCACCTTCCACTGCTTTTGTTTTGTTTCTGCTTTTAGGCAATTGGTCTGCACAGACTTAAGCTGACAGGCAGCTAAATATTTGGTCATCATCTGGTACACATCAGTAGATGCTTGCTGAAACCCAGGGGCTCTGCTGACTTATATCAGCTAAAGATCAGGCTGTCTATACTGTAGACGGAGCTCACTATTTTATGATGCTTTCAGCTATTTCGATTGCTCTTAATGAATGTTACCCAGCAGCGCTTTCAAACTTCCTGACAAAATCATCACTTGTGAGCAGTGGAGTGTGATCAAAGCAAGGAGGGAAACGGAATACAAATCCAGGCCAGTGATTCAGTTTCTAACTGAAATAAACTGAAGAGCTTTTCAAACCAGGATTAAATTCAGCCTCTGTAGGTACATCTACACAAGACATTTACTGGGGAGTAGACTAATTAGCCCTGCAGTACTCATCTCAGCATCTACATGTTTGGCCCTATTAGGCTGCAGGAAACTAATAAGCTTCACAGCTGGTTAGTGCTTGTAAATGCAAGTACTAGCCTGTTGTGGAGTTTTTTTCATGTACAGCAGTGCACGTGCGGATGCTGACCTGGATGGTTGGGGTATGAGGCTGCTTCAGTCCAGAGGCTGCCTGCCAGTTAGCCCTGTGCTGGAGCACCCTTATGCCCCTGCCAGCCCTTCTGTAGCACATCAAGCTGGGTCAGAGCAGTGCCAGGCCATAGGCCCCTTGCCAGCTGGAACTGCTCCAACCTGGCTAAATGCGCTGAGGTCCTGAGCAGTTGTATAAACAGTCACTCAGGAGCAATAAAATCTGCTGTGATATGCATTAATATACATGTGTAGATGTGCCCAATACATAGCAACTCAGGATAGATGGATGCATACAAAGAAGGTAGCCCTCATCTTTCAGACACACCCAGGTTAGCTCAGCACTGGTGGCAGAGGTTGTAGATAAGCTAGTGATCAGCAGGGATCCTGGTTTTCTCTGACTTAAAAAAATTCCCAATTTTCAATTAAAAAAAAAATCCCAAATCCACATTTTTCCATGATTTAAATTAAATGTCACTAATATATAGGTATGTATATAGTGGGGTTTCATTTTGATCATGGAAAAATGTGGATTTGTGGTTATTTTTTTAAACTGAAAATTGGGGATTTTTTTTAATCAGAGAAAACCAGGATCCCTGGTGATCAGTAGGCAAGGTGCTTGGCTGATTGCAGCCGGTAGCAAGAGAGGGTCCCATTGACACCCAGATAAAATAATCCCCATAAAAGAGAAAAACCTCCATGACATTCACGAGGCACTTCCTTTGTGGGGAAGACAGATGGGAGTAGGTATGGGGGGAAAATTTCTGTGGATCCCATTAGATCCGTATGGGTCATGGGAAATTGGTCTAAGACATATTGCCCCCTGGATCCTGCTGGTGGCTGGAGAGCATTGTCGATGCACCAGCTGTGCTTCTAGAAGCAAGCTCAATCATGGCTGCCCCAGAACCCTATTAAAGTGGTACCCCATGATTGCTTTTCAGCCTTTTGGCTAAAATCAAGTGTGACAGGGGGCACCTAAACTTCTGGTCCTGGGATTGCATGTAGGATGCCAGTCTGGATATGGGGAGCATCTGAACTCCGAGGCCTGCAGGCCTAGAACATCAGATACTGGCCTGGTTGAAGTTATATTGGCTATGGATACCAGTAGGCACAGTTATTGAGCTTTTCTCAGTTGGATTTGGAATTTAATTGGCTATTGGAAATATATAAGGTGCTGCCCCATAGCACAGAATGAGAAACAGTATAAGTAAACAGCCTAAGGTGAATTTCTGTCCTTGGCCCCAGCTCACTCTACAGAGTCTCCCATGGAGCCAGAATTTAGGAGCAAAGAGTGCAGGGGCATGGTGTAAAGGTGAGCACCATCTCCCTCCACACCTGGCTCTGGAGGGATGCATGCAGTCTCAGACAAAGACATATTTTGGGAGCAAATTGAGCTCCATTGCCACTCTCATTCAAACACACCTTGTTCAGCCTCCGTTATCCCTGACGGGGCAACAAATTTAACTTCTCCAGACCCTGTGACACCCAATGGAAAATCAAAGGCACTAACTGGCTCCAGCTGACTGAAGGGTTCCCCTGTACAAAGGCCATGTGTTTCGTCATATACCAAGAGAGAACTGTGTCTGCTTGCATGCATGAGCTATTGCATGTGAAAGGGGCCCCTTCTAGATCGGGTCCTATTTGGGCTGACAGTGGTCTTGGGTAATTCCACTGCTCAAAATCATGGTCTTGTTCTATTGCATTGACATGTAACTGACTTGGATTTGTGTCTCATCTTGAAGGCTGAGTCCATTTTACTCCAGACTGCCCAGGAATAGGGTGGGGGGGTGAGGAACAGATCAGCTCCCCCTTTACACAGATCACTTCTAATCTCCCTGCATGAAGGAAGTAAAAGGCAATTGAAACAGATGGAAGGAAATTGTTTTTCATACTGTGCATACTTAACATGTGGAACTCACTGCCACAAGGTACTGGGAGAACAAGAAAATTCACAGCAGAACATCCCGTTATATTAGATTAAAAAAATTACAAGGGCTGTTACCTCTCAAGGATCAGAGATTGGGGCAAACTCTGGCTGATGAGAGTGAGGAAGAAAACGGTGCAGTTAGTTTGTAGTTTTCTACCCTGGAGTTTCTCCCTGAAGTATCTGCTGCTGGTCAGTGCCAGGAACAGGGAGGGGAGCCATCAGTGTGGTTGCAGAGAAGCTCAGCCTGGCTTAGCAGAGAACCCTTCAGTGAGCTTAAACACAAAAAGGAAGCTTAAAAGAAGTGGAAGCTTGGACAGACGACTAGGGAAGAGTATAAGAATATTGCTTGGGCATGCAGGGATGAAATCAGGAAGGCCAGAGTGCAATTGAAAAATCTTGCCTGCTTTTAGGTAAGGTAACGATCTGCTGGGCCTCAAGTTACTGCAGAGGAAAGGAAATTAGTAGCAACAATACCCTGTGGCTCCCTTTCATTCAGGGCTTGTGAAGGTGAGTAAAGTATCATCATCTCTCTTTAGACCAATGGGAAACCAAGGCACAAAGCAATGAAGTGACTTGTCTAAGGTCATATCATAAGCCAGTGGCAGAGCTTGCATTTGGCTTGGCTCTCCTGACTTCCAGTTTCTTTTTATAAGTGCTAGATGCTGCTGCCAGGACTTCTCTGTCCCAGCCCCCTGGGTTGTGAGGGAACTACGCCTCCACAGTGCAGCCCAGGCAAGGCTGACTTGCAGTTTCTTGTTCAGACTCAACCAGAAGATGCTTAGTCACTGCCCTTTTGATCAGGTGCTGCCTGGCTTTGCCTCAGGGGAGAGCCAGGTTCAGAGGTGACCTTGGGAATTCCTGCTTCTCCAGGCAGTGAGGCCCTGGAGCCTTGTGAAGGTGACACTAGTGACTGGTTTTTTAGGGCAAGGTGCATTTCCCTGCACTTGTGGGCACCCTCTAGTGTCCATCACAGCATTGCAGGCATCTGCCAAGTAGGGGAACACAGAAGGAGTCAAATAAGGGGTAGAGATGAATCATGGTGAGGAGCTAGGGGACACCCTGAAGCATCAGGGTTTGGACCAGCTGTCAGCCCACATCACGAAGACAGGCTGATGGGAGTGGGGGGTTGTATGCAGAAAGAGGTGCCCCATGTGTCCTGGTCTGCCTGGTGGGGCAAAGGCACAGCCCAGCCCAGCCCATGTTGAGGATGCCAGAGCCTAGCTTCCTGACAACACATGTGAGCTTGTTCCTGTTTGTTGCATGTGAGGCCTTTGTATTTTGATGGGTGTCCTGAAAAGCAGGAGGCGTTTTAACCTGGCTTGGCAGAGCACAGAGCTGGGGTCATGTGGATCCCCTCTGAGTGCCAGGTTTTGCACATGAGGGAGTCCCTGGCCAGATTTGGGGGTGGAGGAATGCAGGCAGAAGTGGACAGCAACCTGGAGAGTAAAGGCACAGCGTGCCAGAGCTCCCACTGGAAGCAGTCGCTGTCTTTCTAACTGGATGGTTCACCCAGATGGGGTAAGAAAGGCCACTGGCCCAGGATCTGAGAGACCAGGGTCCTTGCTGTGCCAGGGCTGCGCTGTGTAACTTCAGGCAAGTCACAGTCAGCGCTAATCACCATGGGTAACATTATCTTCCCTCAAAGGGCTGTTGTGAAGCTAAAACCCATTTGGGATGATGTGGCTAGTGATAACTCCAGGGCTTTATCTGGACAGACACAGGAACATACCTGGGTGGGGGCTGCCAGCAGGGTGGGCTGGGCAAAACTATGGACAGGGAATGTTGCCTGATTGGCCCTTTGCTTGCAGGAGAAGCTGTGAGTGATCTGAGATTCATGTGTTGATTCCTTTGGGATGGGGAGTGAGGCAAGTTGTCATCCCTCATTAGGAATTGTTTTAATGATGCGCCGGTGACTGGAGACATCACAAGAAACAGAAGGAAGTGTTTTCATGCAGATGAGCACAGCACACACCTGATGTGGAAAAAGCACAGAATTTACCAGCTTATTGCAGGGATGACAAGCTAGGCTAAAGGCAGCCTTTGAAGTTCCTGATAGAGTCCCTGATGTGAAGGGAGCACCTAGAAAAGAGATTGCAAAACTGACAACAGGGTGGCTGAATTACATGGTGAACTGGTGAATACTGAGTACCTCAACTCCCCTGGCTCCAGTTAGATCTGAGGGTGCTCCGCACCAGACAGGATCAGGACCCTCATGCAGATGCCAAAAGACAATGCCCAGCTGCAGGCAGGAAGTTGTCGGGGTGTTTGTAATCCTTCCCACCAGACATGCATTTGGCATACGCACCAAGGAGACAGTGTTCCAGGCTGATGATGAAATAAAGCTGGTGAAGTGAGAGTTGAAGGACAAAGCTGTCGTCTATGGCCCTGATCCCGTGATGAGCCACCAGCCAGCTGGGCTGTAACAGGGAGGACCACTGTTTGTCTGCCTCCATGTGGTGTGCAGCACACCCCTGGCAGGAGTTGCTCAGCTCCTCCTCAGCATCAGACCCCAACATGACATGTACATGAACCTGCTAAACACCTGATATTTAAACTTGGCTGCTTCCAGTGATGTCTGGACCCAAAGGCCTGTGCTGCTAGGAGCACGGGCATACAGAGGTCAGCAATCATTTAGAACAGCTGTTGCTTGTGCTTGTGACCTGGCCGCCTCCATAGGCTGCCAGTTCCCCCCACTATAGACCACTGCTCCCTTCTGCTGTGTGCCCCTGCCTCTGTCACACACCATACACTGCCGATTTGCAGCCCCAACAACAGCCTGCTGTGGAGGGGAGGGATGGGAGGAGAGAGCATGGGAGAGGGGTGGCTCTGCAGAGAGATCAGCAGCACAGTGGTGGGCAGAGAAGGGGGATGTGCTGGACTGAGCCCTGTGCCCTGATCCTCTGTGCTGCTATGGCCGCATCCAGTCATTTTGCAGCCCATATCCAGCCTCTGGGTCATAAGTTGCAAAGCCAGAGTTTATTGTGTCAGTAAAGCACCCCCAGAGTGGGCACAGATGTTTGGCAGAGCTGTACATCATACCACTATAGTGAAGCCACCCCCAAGCAAAACCAACTCTCCTGGCCTGAGTGGTGTACTGGTGTAGGGCTTTCTCAAGGCATAGCTGTGTTTACCAGAGACCACAGGGCTGCTCTCAGGGCAGACACCTGTAACTCACATTGTGCTGAATTTTTTCTTTAGGCCTGGATGTTGCTCCCCTGGTCAATGGGAGCTCTTGCTTTTGAAAGTTGGTGGAACCAGGATTGCGTTTCTCAAGTCTGGGATTCTGGGCTTCCTCTGTCCAGCTAACGTTGGCTCTCAGGGCATCACCTAGAGGAGGAGGAGGAATCTGAGGCTCCGTTGTCATGTTTTAATGTCTCCCCATATGTTGCCAGTCCCTGAAGGTGGGAAAGAGAGGTCAAGGACAAGGACTGAAAATCAAGACTCCCGGTCCTTGTCCTTATCTTTCCTACTACTGACTCCTTCCTACCACTGACTTCCCACCACTGACTCCTTCGCTGATTTCAAGCAAGTCACTTCACCCCGGCCTCAGTTTCCCCATCCTAAAGAATTCCAACTTTGGAAGGGGTGTTGAGATCCTCAGACAATAGTCCCTGTACACAGGCATCATTTGGTTAATTATTAATAATTCAGTATTTAGCTTCAACCCTTAGGCTGACTGTGTGCTGTGACCACTGCCTGTCATGCTAACCAGGAGGGTCTCTGTCTCCCTGTGCTCCCCTGTCTGTCTGTCTCCCTTGTCTATCTATTTGGTGTTACATTTAGATTACAAGTTCTTTGAGCCAGGAGCTATCTCTGATCTGTGTTTGTACCATGCTTGGCGCAGCAGGGTCCATGCCTGGTGCTACCACGAGAAGGAAAAGAATGATGACAAAATATGCCTATTGTCATGTTTTAATGTCTCCCTATATATTTGCCCTTTCCTGACAGAGGAATACTGAACACTTAAAATACCAAATACTTAAAAGCTTAAGAAACAAACTGTGTTGCACAGGATCAGTGTTTTTTAAGTAATTATTAGGGTTATTTACAGAAATGCTCCAAGGTTCATGTTCCACAGACCCAATCTGTTTGCTCTAGCAGGGGGGAAGGGAGGTGGAGGGCAGAGGGAGATTTACCTGAGTCTGGGCCAGAGGTGACACCTGTTTGTTAAGGAATTATTCTGCTGTTTGCTTGGCAGCTGTAGCTTTCCAGACCAGGAGCCATTGAAGGTACAGGCCCAGCCTGGAGTCTGCACTGGTCCAAGTGAAATCATTTCTAATCAGGCCTCACTTTGCCACATGCAGGCAGTTTGCCCCTGCATGGTTCCCTTGGCTTTGGCAGAATGACCCCTGAGATAACTTTGGCCTCTTAGTAGCATGAAAAGCTCAGTCCTGCAGGTGTAGAGCACGTTGTCCATTGGCTGGTGCCTCATATGCTCATCTGTACCAGGGCAAACAATGCTCCCAGTCTGATGCAGCTTTTCCTTGGTGTAAGTCTGTGCACACAGTACAAGGGTGCTGCTGCAGCCCCCGATTCACCCAGTGGAGTGGGAGTTTGCCATTAACTGCAGTGAGTGGAGGGCTGGGACTTACGAACTCTCACAGAACAGCATGTCCTGATGTCAGAAACCATGGCATGGTTGACCTTTCTCTTCTCCCTGGCTGTCAGCCCCCGTGGAGCCAATCTCCTTTTTGGGTGGTTCTGTTATCATAACCCTCCATACCTCTGGTGGGGGTTCTTGCTCACCCCATGAGTTCCCAGCATCTCAGACCTCCTCTACTGAGCCACAGCCTGTGACTCTGTTGACCTTCTCCTTCAATCACGCCTTACTTGGATCTTAATTCAGGTTAGGTTAGTTCAGCTCTTCTGGAGGTATTTGTCCTCTAGAACAAGAACAGACACACAGCACATTCATGTGGAGTATCTGTGCTGCTTTAAATTCACATTCTACCTCCATCCAGATTAACTTCCCCGCATAGAGAGGTCCTGACTCAGTGATGGGATGGCTTGGGGAGGTGGGGGGCACACACAGGTCCCTCCTGGTCCCTTTGCTCCAGACTTGCCCGCTCCTGGCTCCCCCTTGCTCCTGGCTCCAGACCAAACCAGACCCCTGTCTTCTGACCTCTGGCTCTGGCTTTAGTTTGGCAATTGCTCATGCCCCATCATGTATAGCTACAGCAGTGACACCAGTCTGGAACTTGTCTGCTCCTGATTCCCTGGATTGTGACCCTCTGGAGTCAAACCTCGATTGCCCACATCCCAGTCATCTCCTGACACTGACCTTGTCAACCTGTCACAGTCACTTCCATGCCTCCCCAAGCTAAGCCCCCATGTGTGTCCCAGTGTCCCTGAGCACGTCTATGAGGTCCTTGTCCAGCTCTTGTTTGACTTTCTCAAAGGCTCCTGCTCTGCAGTCTGAAGGGACCCTCATCAGTTTGTACACCAGCCCCTTTGCAGTGCCTTGTTGCCCACTGACGTTAGCTGACTGTGGATCTGTCTCCCTGACTGACCTTGGACTGCAGGCTGCTCCAAGCATGGCCCACCCTTTCCTATCTGGAAAGCAGCTCATTGGCTGTGGATGTCACTGCGCACACAGTGTCACCATTAACACTGCTGGAGGGTCCCGGGGAATGAAAGAGCAGCCTCTCCCTCTCAAGGGGAGGCATTGCTAGACCACCCCAAGAAGCCTCCTTTGTTGTAGAGGAGGATGAAACAGGGAAGATCTGAAATCAGACTCTGAACGGAAACAGCCGCGTAACCTTGAGGGGTGGCATGGACCTGCACCCCAGGAACTCCCTTTGTTCCCTCCCTTGATGTAAGAGATCACTGCACCCTGGAGTTACTTGAGATCTGCTGTCTGCAGGAGGTGGCTAAGGAGGGCCCAAGCCTTCCTGCTACTCCCCTTCTGGCTTGAAGAGCCTCTGGGTCTTCATTCCCTTTTCCTAGGGCCTGATCCTGAGGCTGTGCTGGAAGTGGGAGGTTACCAGAGGTCTCAGCAGCATCTCTCAGGTCCTTATCATTCATATTCCCTCATGTCTTCCTCTGGGCTGGAGGGGCAAGTCAAATCGCCCCTTCCCCCTCTCCAAGGCCAATTAGTGCTTCTCAGAAATGGGAAGTAGCCAAATAAGGCCCCAGCTCCCCAGGGCGGGCAGCAGGCAGTGCATGGTTTTGCCTCCTCAAAGTGCTGCAGCGGCATGTGCCTGGTGACTCCAGGGCAGGAGGATCTGCTGCTTGGATTTCATTCCAGCAGGTCTCTCAATCCTCCGTGTTACTTTAAATCAGGCCCAGGTCTCAAATGGTGCAACTGTTTGTGCTTGAAAACATAGCCTGAGCCTGGGAGGCAGCACACTAGTTCAGTTCCATACTCAGCAGGGTTGTTTTTGGGATCCAGGTCCCTGGGAGCTGATGCATTTCGCTCCAAGGTCGGAACAGATTAACCTCCTTTCCGTGTGTGACAGACAGTTTGCTGCTGGTGGATGAAGCAGGGATCAGGGTGGGTCACCATGGGTGGGGTAGGAGAGGGAGCCTCACCCCTTCTGCTCAGCCACATGCTGAGCCCCTCTGAACATCAGATGTTATGTGTATGAGTGAGCAAAAGGGCCTGGCCTGTAGAAGTCTGTTCTCTGACTTCAATGGATGTTGCATCATGTCTTTTAAGCTTGGAATAGCTCAAATGCACCTCAGGGCAACAAAACAAACTAACCTCCAGGCTGACACACAGTTCACTAAGTGTCATCCTGAGCTGGGTGACAACAAATGGGCCAGCCCGAGCTGGACTGTGGGCACAGCCCTGACATCCTAATAGAGCATTCTCGCCTTGGCAGTTGTTATCACCTTTCCTCGTGTGGGAGCGAATCTTCCACAAGACCTGCAGAAAAAGCACAGAGACCTGAACTGGCAGGTAGCCCACCGGGCACTCCCTGTGCAGGCATGGAAAAACAGCAGATAGAAATGATCCACCACCTTTTCTGGGACTGCCCATATGCCAGAGGTGTGGAAGAAAATCCGGGTGCTCCTCCTGGTGGTGACAGGTTGCAGAGACCTGACCAGGGAAGCGGTTCTCTATGGGCATCTGACCAGACAGCACGGGGCCCGACAGCTCGCTTCAACCAGTGCATATCTTGCTTCAGGTCTGCACTGTAGAAAGCCAGGAACCTGCTCATAAACAGACACTCAGACCCCACAGTCGAGGGCTGTATTAAAATGGGACTAAGGGAAATGGACTGGTTCTACAGGAAGACAGAAGAGGACAATGGGAAAGAAATGGCAGACCTCATCTGGTGGAGAGGGGTCTGGCATAGATTTTTTCAGGAGTAGACCCTCTGAGGAGGGCAGTGGGTGGGGGTACAGGTATGGAGATGGGTGCATGGGCTCATGAATACATGGTGTGAACTCTGTAATGGGTTTTTCGTGTGCTGTGAACCACAGGGGCCACTTGGCAGAGTGTTGGAAGTGAAATTAGATATATATAGTTATATATATGTATCTAGATATCTATGTATGTATGTATGTATGTATGTATGTATGTATATATATGAAGAGAGAGAGAAATATTTTTGAAAAAAAAAGTTGTTATCAAGTCTCACACTCAGTTCTCAGTTGGCAGGTGCCCCAGGTGTATTGCGGACAGTCCTGTCTAAAGCCCATGACAACACATCAACTGATCATGGGAAGCTCAGGGACCGTGACAAGAATGTCAGGGAATTGGGAGGGGCTGGAAAAAAAGAAAAGTCAATCCTAGACCCCACCCCCCA